TTCTGGCGTATCAAAAAGGTATTTTTCTGTACTTGCTGCAAATTTAGTGTCTAAAACATGGAAAAATGTGCATGTATTGGAAATATGTACGGACTTTTTTTTCTTTCCCTGACAAGGCAACAATCTAAAGAAAAATATCCAAGTCTTATTTATCAAAGTGTCAAAGGGATACATTGCCACAAACTAACCAGTCCGCCTTTTTTCCTTGTGTACTACAAAGAGGGCAAGCGAAAGGGATATACAAAGGTTAATATATGACATTTTATAAAAATATAGGAGCCCTTCAGGTAGACCTATAATAGAAATACACTGCAGGTGATTGAGCATGCAGTATAACCAGCATTTGAAAATGTTAAACTGAAGCATTTACATTTTTTATGTTATGTAACTTCTTGAAACCTTGCTAATGTTGAAAATAGAACATGCTTGTTTTGATACGAAAGAAAAACCCTGACACAACTTGTGGGAAAAACCCCAGCTGCAATTCTAACCATGAAAACTTCCCACAAAGTCTGGAACGCAAGTGGAGGCTCCAAAAATATCCAGCTGGAGCCAGCGTCTGCGTATGTTATCCATGCTCAGAATCTAGTATTAGGCCACAGCACAACAGTGGAGTGGGCGTCTGCACCTGCTACACTTCCAGGTCAGCTCCAATGTCTCACCCCAGATCACTCGGTTAGAGGACATTACAAAGTAGCAGAGTAACCATAAAGATACACTAGATCTGATTGGTAGACATAAAAAATAAAATAATACGACATTGATACTTGTTACTATTTATTTATAAGACAAGGAGTCAGAATAATACCAGATTGTTTTGGCTGGAGGACTGTGTACACATACACTTAGGCCCCTTCCATTCTGTTTTTGCCCGTAAGTTCATGAATCAAAAAATGGACTACAATACATCCTTATTGGTGGCTGGGTGCAAGCAGATGTGCATCTGCCTATATTAGGTATTTCCAGGTCAGCTTCGGTTCATCGGACCATACACAAAAAGCTCTGATCCAGGTCCGCTTTTGCAGTCCAAGCCAAATGTGAGTAGATATTAGGTGGACACATGTCCATTTACATCCAGACACCCATAATGATTACATGAGGTCGTATCGATCCATTTGTGACATCCGTGTTCTGATCCTACTCAGCACAGGATCAGTCTAGGACAAAAAGGACAAAAAGGGTGGTGCCTCTATGAGATGGCTTTTAAGCTGGTTGGACAGAGATCGAATGTCACAGTTTCCTGCTGAATCAGTCAAAATGTGATCTGTGAGTGGTCTTGTTGGCATTAGCGGCTCAAAAAAAAGTAAAGCCAGGTGGAAAATTGTTGGCTAAACAGTGACTTAAGCCAATCAGCTGCAGTCACCGTAGGAGCATTCTGACAGCCATGGGTGCCGGCTGTCAAAATATAATAGCCATCACAAGAAATAACTCTCTGCACCTAGGGAGGATATCTACCACAGTGGGTTCATGGGTCCTTTGGTACAATTTTCCTTACCTTCCTCAACAATACAGTGATCTGTATTCCATGGCTCCTGAATTCCATGTTCATTTGTCTACCCCTTCTGTACACATTCTAATGAAGCAATTCACAAGACAATTTCCCTCCAAATCCAACCAAAAAGTAGAAGAGTAGCGCACTGCCTCGAGCAAGTGGCATCAGCTCATCAAGAAAGCCGATTAGCTCTACGGATGTTGCTGCCACAATGAGGAAAAGTACAAGTGAAGGGGTGAAATTAAAAGCATCTCTCAACAAGGTCCTTTTATTCCTAGAATTCCTGAGAGTCAGGTGGCAAAAGAAACATAATTAACAGCCTACGATCAATTCCTAGAACAAGCACGACAGAGAAAAGTGATGGGTGCATAGTACAAGTATATCTTGAGTGGCTTTTTAAGGTTTGAATTGATGTTCTTATAACATGTCTAAGAAAGTCTTCCAATAAAGCAAACCAGGCAATTCAGATTACCATAAAAGTAAATGTAAATTAACATTTCATATGAAATGATTACTCCAAAGCCACAAAAGTGAAGACTTCATTGACAAATGTTTACGTGAACCCGTCACCTACACGCAGTATGCAAAGTAATTTTACTTATTTAATAAAGTTGTGAGGAATTAGGAATTCCCTAGGAACGAGGCCTGAAGAGAAAAAAAAAAAATAACATAAAACCAGTCCGAAATGGGTTCCACCTTACTTCTCGGGTATAGGGGGGCATGCGTTTATTCACTTGTATGTAAATGAGTGTGCAGCGCTCAGGGTCACCAATAAGTGAACCAAAACGATCAAATACGTGTTAACACACAATAAAAGTGCTTATAATCTTTAGTGCATAATCTGCTACCATATCCTGGTTGTAGCCAGTGATATATTAAATACAAAATTTCACTTCGTGCAAAAAAACGTATACAAAAATTATAAGAAAATACCTTTTTGCAATCAAATATAAAACGTGCATCAAATCAATCCAAAGGGTCATATATGCAAGTGAAAAATCATAGAGTCCAAACTGTTATTTAATCCAATTGTATATAATATATTGATGAAAAAAACTTCAAACAGGTGCTTTGCAATCTTTCTCCCACACCATGTGTTCACGCCAAATTCCCCTCTGGGGTGCGCACTCACCAAACCATTATCGCTTGTAGGCAATAAAAGGATGAGAAGCCGATACGTCCCAGCAAGCGTCTCATCAGAGTCCCATAGATCGATATTTAACGAGAATAAAAAGGGAAACTCCTCATGGTGTAGTCGACAAACATTTATTTAAAAAAATATAGTAACTTACAGTTTAAAAGCAAAAAGATTGGCCGCTCACAGGCAGCGTGAAGATGTCCTGTACTTCCTTGTTGTGCGTGGTATTGAGATGTGTAGCCCCGCCCAGAGGTGGGGCTACACATTTCAATACTGTTGGATTAAATAACAGTTTGGACTCACTTTATGATTTTTCACTTGCATATATGACCCTTTGGATTGATTTGATGCACGTTTATATTTGATTGCAACAAGGTATTTTCTTATAATTTTTGTATAATAAGTTTTTTTGCACTTTTGCACGAAGTGAAATTTTGTATTTAATATCTCACTGGCTACCACCAGGATATGGTAGCAGATTATGCACTAAAGATAAGCACTTTTATTAATAACAAGTATTTGATACTTTTGGTTCACTTATTGGTGACCCTGAGCGCTGCACACTCATTTACATACATTTTGACCCCAGTGTCCCTAGCGCAGCAACTTTATTTAGAAATACACAGATATAGAGATAGAGATATATACATATATATCCTAATCCATAAGCACGAATTTTACATATTTCATCGTTTATTCACTTGTACTACTTTCCTGTCAAAAGAGAAACGTCACTCCAGTGTCAAGCTTTAAGAACCCTACAAAGGCTGACTGTCTTCTCCTTAAGCTCAGGGTTGATAAAAGGACACCTTCTGGGCTGCTGAAGGAGAGTAAACGGGTTCACTTAAAACTTTTAGCTATGTACTCCTGACATCGCTTTTGTTGTATGACCATTTCGGAGTGCCTGTTGTAAGGCTGTCCTATCTCTTGTCTAGGTTTAGCCTTTATAATTGTGCTCCGACAGGGAGAAAATACAAGTGAATAAACAAAAAGCCATAAGGTTGTACTACTAGAGCGATTAAAAAGAACAGATCAGATTTATTTAGACAGCCATTTGATAACAGATTCAATTTAAAGCTTCTGGTACGATTTGCATTATTGCTGCAGCTTAGGAATCCTGTAAGGCTGCAGCAACTAAATCGACTAAATCGATGAGAACAGTTGGCAACTCTTATCGATTAGTTGGTGGGAGGGGGGTGGGGGAGAGAGAGAGGGGAGAGAAGAGAAGAGGGGTTACCTGATGAAACTGAAGTGACATGCTGATTGGTTGCCATGGACAAGTGCTCCAGATTCTGCCTGCTTTTGATAAATTCCCCCCAATATATTTATTAAATTCTACACATGACACAAAGCGATAAAAACACATAACGCCTAAACAAGATTTCACAAACCGCAACAAAGCTAGCTTCTCAGAATGTACACTAGCATGTATATAAAAATAAATGTAGCCAGAACTAATGGCTAGAATGAAGACCATTATCACATATCACATTCATTAGAACTGTGACTGTATGAAGCTTCTATAAAATAACATGAGATCTGCATTGTACAGGAGGCCTCTCGCAAGCTGCCAGTTAGCATAAGGGGAGGGATATAACAAATCTGTATGAGGACAGATATAAACACAGTACAGCTAGTCCACAGCCATCTATAAATAGATCTTGTTTCACCGCTCTCAGGATCAAAAGGCACCAAGCAAGCAGTGAACAGAAGCTAGAAGCGGCATTATCACATGTCAGCCATTAAATGCACTATGGGATCCACTCCCCATCTGAAAATACTAGCTAAAGCTTTTAAAAACGCTGACCTCTTTCTAAATTGCTCACACCCCCTCATTAAACCCTTTCAACACCAGATGGATTTACTATCCACAACAGAATGCCCGAGGTGGGAAACTGTCAGAGGGCAACCATTGCAATTTAGGTTTATTATGGCAGGATTAATGGCTAGCCACAATGAATCTCAGTTAATATTTTAACTGAGATTCATCCAGAAATAGGGTAGTAAAAACTATAACCAGAACCAAGTGAGATAAGAATAGAGGAGGAAAAAAAAACCCACACTTAGCCACTAACAATACAAATACTCAATAGATGCTCAGCATATTCCAGCCATCTGTTCAATTACTCTAACTAGGGCTGCACTTCAGACACAAAGTTTATTTTTTGACCAAATGACATGCCAGAGGAGTCTTGATTTATTCATAAGCTAGTCAAAAGAATCATCATTTGAAAAACAGGAAACAGTTCTGTATGTTATATTAAAACTTTCCTAGATGAACTTGGCGACTGTTGCATTCATATAAAGTATAAACATCCACCTCAGTTCCAAATTCGTCAATGTAACATGACAACAGACAAAAAAGCATACCTGGATGAATCTGGGAGCTCATGTCAGGCCAAGAGGATTCTTCAAGAAATTACAACCAGATCCAGGAGCCGGAAAGTTTGCTAAGCAAAAGGACATGAAAGAACCACTTTGTGGCAAAGGAAATCCAAGATTGTCAACATGAAGCCACTGGGAAGGACTTCCAAACGTACGGACCTGCAGAAGAAAAGCACAGATGACTTACAAAATTAAGTGCTGCCTTGAATTATACAATCCCCTCCACCCATTATACTAAACCTGCAGTCACTGTATGTACAGTATACACTGATCTGTTCCAGATCTTCCTGTGAACAAGCAGCCTGCTGAGCTAGAAGATTCGGTATGCCCCACCAGCACTGCATCCCTAAGGGATCTCTTGGTAATTTAACACTTTATTTAATGGTCAGCATAAACAGCGACTAGTTTCCAAAGCCCACAAAACACATACCTGGGCTGTGTGTGGAGATTTTAATGCATGTTACATGTATTTTGTTTGTTTTGCAACATTAAGACAATTGTACACACCAAAAGGACATTGTAGGGATAAGAAAAACAAATAAATTACATTCAGAAGCTTTGACTACAAGATGTTCTATTCAGTAATTCAGAAATCTGAGTGCACAAAGCTTAAGGACCAAACAAATAATTATGCACTGCTTGTTTGATAGTTAGAAATTACATAGCTGCAGCACTAAATGTATCAGGTTTATAATTATGGGTTACAAATAATTCATGCAGCATTCTTGACAAGGTGCCCTTTCTGTTGGATTGAAGAAAAGTATTTTACAGCAACAGACAAGCAGCACTGCAGAACTAGTGTACTACTAGTCTAGAGTAGTAACAAGGCAAAAGGGTCCATATGTGCAATTTACAAAGCTGGCGTTTTCTCTGCAGTGAAAGCAAAATGTATTACAATGTAGCACAACTATGGCATTATCTTACAGAAAGCTTACTGAAAATGTGTAAAATTATTCCTTATGTACAGCACTAAATGCACAAAATGTGCTAATAAAAATAAATTAACTAAAATCACAAAGCTCAGAGTTGGGGAGGCGTGTATCTGATGTAGGGCTGCAACAACTAATCGACATAATCGATTATAATCGATTATTGAAAAAGTTGTCAACTTTTTCAATCATCGATTAATCGGCTTCTGATTGGTTGGCTTTGTTCACGGCTCCACACACGCTGCGCGCCACGCCTCCTCCCCAACTCACGCTCGCCGCTGCCAGAGGAGCAGATGTGGGCGGATGACAGCCGCCGATAGACAGGCCCGATCTCAGAAACAAGTTGCTGGAAGACTGCTCAGGTAAGCCTGCACTCCCACCCACACATGGTGCTCTACAATGTATTGCTGGGATTTGTATTCCTCTATAGCTGATGGTACATTGTGCTGTATATTATACATGGGAATACAAATCCCAGCAATACATTATACACTGTATGTATAATGTATTGCTGGGATTTGTTGTACTCCTATATAGCTGGTGGTATTCTGCATTGCGCTTTATAGAGGACTACAAATCAAGGAATAATACATTATACAGCGCAATGCGGAATACCACCAGCTATAGAGGAGTACAACAAATCCCAGCAATAGTACATTATACAGTGGTGCAATGCCGAATATCACTAGCTATAGAGGACTACAAAACCCAGCAATAATACATTATACAGCGCAATGCAGAATACCGCCAGCTATAATGTACTATTGCTGGGATTTGGAGTCCTCTATAGCTGGTGCCATTCTGCATTCATTGCTGTATAATTTTACACTTTTCATTTCACTATATTGTCCACCACACTTTTTTTTTATTTTTTACTTCCACCGCTCCAAACTTGCTCCCGTGATGGACAGCAATCTCAATACAAACTAGAAGTCCCTTCACTGGAGCCATATTTTAAAATGTATTTTATTTTTTATCCGATTAACCGATTAATCGAACTTAATAATCGGCTAACTAATCGATTTTGAAAATAATCATTAGCTGCAGCTCTAATCTGATGGCTGAACACTTGTTAATTAAAACCCAATATAACGTTGTGGTACCTATCGGCCAGTATGAGTAACCATCTCAGAAACAACCAAATGGAACAAGCATGAGGAATGTAATAAAGACTACCTTAGCGGTCCAAAAACGATGCTTTATGACGAGGTGTGTGTACAGCAATAAAAAGGACCACTCGTTGAAGATTTTAGTTTGGTGTGCTGGTGATATACTTTACTACCAAGACTACCTTTGGTGACAACTTTTGGTCACAGTCAGCCAATAACCATAATATCCAAATTTGATAGGTGTAGTTAAAAGTGGTGTGCTCTGGGGAAAAAAGTATGGCATGCAGCACAATGCACGGAGGCCAAAAGAACTGAATGAAATGTCACTGTGTGATATACAGGTGAAACTCGATTAGAATATCGTGCAAAAGTTAATTTCACTAATGCAACTTAAAAGGTGAAATATATGAGATAGACTCATTACATGCAAAGCAAGATAGTTCAAGCCGTGATTTGTCATAATTGTGATGATTATGTCTTACAGCTCATGAAAACCCCAAATCCACAATCTCAGAAAATTAGAACGTTACATGCAATCAATAAAACAAGGATTGTACATAGAACAATATCGGACCTCTGAAAAGTATAAGCATGCATATGTACTCAGTACTTGGTTTGGGCCCCTTTTGCAGCAATTACTGCCTCAATGCGGCGTGGCATGGAAGCTATCAGCCCGTGGCACTGCTGAGGTGTTATGGAAGACCAGGATGCTTCAATAGCGGCCTTCAGCTCTTCTGTATTGCTCGGTCTCATGTCTCTCATCTTTCTCTTGGCAATGTCCCATAGATTCTCTATGGGGTTCAGGTCAGGCGAGTTTGCTGGCCAATCAAGCACAGTAATCCCACGGTCATTGAACCAGGTTTTGGTGCTTTTGGCAGTGTGGGCAGGTGCCAAGTCCTGCTGGAAAATGAAGTCAGCATCCCCATAGAGCTCGTCTGCGGAAGGAAGCATGAAGTGCTCCAAAATCTCCTGGTAGACGGCTGCGTTGACCCTGGACTTAATGAAGCACAGTGGACCAACACCAGCAGATGACATGGCTCCCCAAATCAACACAGACTGTGGAAACTTCACACTGGACTTCAAGCATCTTGCAGTGTGTGCCTCTCCATTCTTCCTCCATACTCTGGGTCCTTGGTTTCCAAATGAGATGCAAAATTTGCTCTCATCAGAAAAGAGGACTTTGGACCACTGAGCAACAGACCAGGTCTGTTTTTCTTTAGCCCAGGTAAGACGCTTCTGACGTTGTTTGTTGTTCAGGAGTGGCTTGACAAGAGGAATACGACATTTGAAGCCCATGTCCAGGATCCGTCTGTGTGTGGTGGCTCTTGATGCACTGACTCCAGCCTCAGTCCACTCCTTGTGAAAGTCCCCAACACTTTTGAATGGCCTTTTCCTGACAATCCTCTCCAGGCTGCGGTCATCCCTGCTGCTTGTGCACCTTTTTCTTCCACACTTTTCCATTCCACATAACTTTCTATTAATGTGCTTTGATACAGCACTTTGGGAACATCCAACTTCTTTTGCAATTACCTTTTGAGGCTTTCCCTCCTTATGGAGGGTGTCAATGATGGTTTTCTGCACAACTGTCAGGTCAGCCGTCTTTCACATGATTGTGATTCCTACTGAACCAGACTGAGAGAACATTTAAAGGCTCAGGAACCCTTTGCAGGTGTTATGGCTTAATTAGCTGATTAGAGTGGGACACTTTGAGCCTAGAATATTGCACCTTTTCACAATATTCGAATTTTCTGAGATTGTGGATTTGGGGTTTTCATGAGCTGTAAGCCATAATCATCACAATTATGACAAATCACGGTTTGAACTATCTTGCTTTGCATGTAATGAGTCTATCTCATATATTAATTTCACCTTTCAAGTTGCATTAGTGAATTAAATTAACTTTTGCACGATATTCTAATTATTCGAGTTTCACCTGTATAAGTGAACAATATTATTATTGGTATTTATATAGCGCAGACAATTTACGCAGCACTTTACATAGTTGCACATTCACATCAGTCCCTACCCTGAAGGAGCTTACAATCTAAGGCCTCTAGCTCACATGCATACATGGGCCAATTTTGTTTAGACAGGAGCCAATTAACCTTCTAGCATGTCTTTGGAGTGTGAGAGGAAACCGGAGTACCCGGGGAAATCCCACACAAGCACAGGGAAAACAAACTCCTTGCAGGCAGTGACCTGGCCGGGAACCGGTGACCCCAGAGCTGCAAGGCAGAAGCGCTAACCACTATGCCACTGTGCTGCCCAATAAAACAAAAAACAAAGGTTACAGTGTGCAGCTTTCACAGAGCACCCCAGTGGCTGCATTCTACTGGGCCCTATTAGTTTTCAATGACTGACTAAACAGAATATGAACTCAAATACTGTTTACTGCATGCAGCCTTTGGAACCTATTGGTTGCTCCCCAAGACCCCAGCAAATTCTCTTTTTACTCAGACAGGGGAGATAAAAATAGAATTTTTGACATAGTGAAATCCTGTTGGAGTTTATGAAGGGACACAGAGACCGAAGCTTTCTGAGACATATGGGTTGTACTGCTGCCCGGTTAGCCAGTAAAACCCCTCCCACTGCCATCATGCCTCAGGTTCGTAAGCAGTAGAAGGTGTGATCACAAGATGGGTGAGACCAGTGTCCCTTAATTAACTCCAAGAAAATGATTCTACAGCAAGTCAAAAATCAATTTTCTCAGAGTGATAAAGTCAAAAGGTTTCTAAGCCTTTTAAATGCTGATTAAATCGCTTACAATTGATGTTGCTTCTTGAGGTTTTAAAGTTTTAACTTACTGTAGAACCAGCTGGTCCCCTGAGCACTAGCCCTATATTCTGCTTTAAGATGGCTCCTTTCCCTTGCAGGGTCCTATGGAGCCCAAGATGCACTAATCTAGTAGAATGTGGAACCTAATCCTTAAGCCCATTTGCTTGGATGATGAGCTGCCAAAGGCACACAGATATGGTCGAACAAGGAGGCAGGCTGTCTCCTACAGGGACCCTCAGGGATGATAAAATCAGTCAGTCTGACTAAAGAGAGACAAGGCCAAGAGATACACTCGGACAGCAAGTAACAAATCCAAAACAATGGAGAGAAACATCCATGG